TTGTTCAAGCCGCGAAAGTATGCTGTGTACATTTTGTACTGTACTGCATAGATAACCCAATAATTGCCAGTGTCCGTATTGCCTGATCCCTATTTCACACTCTTGGCTGTTCTGTACTTCCTTCACGAGACCTTTGATAGCTTCTGTCTTGTCTCCACAGTGAAGCCTGAATTTCTACCTTCTAACCGAACGGTTTCGAACGAGCGTCAGTCCAGCGCCGTGTTGCGATGTCGTTTCTACGGCAGTCCGGCGCCGGCGATTACTTGGACGCTTCCGAATGGAACTGAGCTGAGCTCCCAGCCACCCACCGCTGTTACAGGGGCAGTAACCGGCAGTGCAGTGACCATACAGAATGGGAGCAGGTCGGACCAGGGCTGGTACAACTGCACAGCCAAGAACAGAATTATGAACGCGAGTTACAGTGCCATGGGAAGCGTCTACCTTCGAGTGCAAGGTTAGTTGGACTGCATCTGTGGCTGGTTTACATTCAAGGTACAATACTGTATAGCAGTGTGCTCCAACTAGTCACAGTGAAGGCAATTCGAAGCACACCTTGAATTGGGAGGAAAGTTACCTTCCTTCCAATTTGGGAATAATTGATATCCTTGCATCAATTTAAGAACTGTGGGATTGGAGTCATTGGCATCTCTTCTAGCTGCAGAAGAAGCGGTCAATAAGGGGAATGCACCGAAGTGAAAGCTTGGGTACGCAGGACACTTGCACCTGTACAGCAAATTTGCCCTACCATAGCTTAGAGGTTGAGCATCGCTTGCCATAAGCCAGGGTCCCTCGTTTTATCGCTATAATTTTCTTCCTATTGTTTGGTGGCATTATTAAATTAAACGTTCTCTCACACTTTACCTGTGTCAACTCCGAAACACAATGGTATAGTTGGATGATTAGTGTCTTTTCTAGAGCACAAACTAAGCTGCGTGTTCCCTCACGTCGTTATCCCACAATCGCAAGCACTTGTATGCTGTTCTGTGTGCCGTTCTATTTTTGTTCTGTTTCAGTGCTGGCAAGCGTCGGAGCGGTGGCTGCCGATCAAGTTGTGCAGATCAGGAAGGAAGCACGTATGATTATCAACGCCACTTCTCTAGGGGATCCCCCAGCACCAGTGTCAAATATAACCTGGGAAAAGGTATCATTGGGTTGGCGTACACTGCGGAGATATAGTTTGAATGTGGGATCGGCTGCAACCTGCGTTTTGCCATCCATTTTCATCTGGTTTTGCTTGGGATAAACCTGAAGGTACTGCTCGCTCTTGCGGAAAACCCTACATTGTAGATTCGCTGCTATCCCCTTCCATTTGAGCAACTCTTCTCTCCCTCCGCGCACATGTACACATACACAAACCGGATTCACACACACAACATAGAGAGGTCTACGTTCACTCTGTGATCGACTTGAAGACCAGCTAACCTTATAGTTATACTTCAGTAGTAGCAGTGCCAGAGTTCCTTATCGGTTTGTAATGTTATCATGGCCCATGGGGGCAGCGCCGCGATGAGATACCCTGCCCGTATCCTCTATACCAGGAATGGACTGCGCCCGGCGCTGACTCTATGCACAGAGATGCTGTTTTATACATCCCAAACACCACCAGCGCCCCTCAAAAGTGGGAGCGGGATCTGAAAATCAATCTGACGGAGCCCTGTGCTAGTCTATCTGATGTCTGTACTCTTGAACTTTGACCTCCACACTGCACTGCGCAATCTAACTTTTCCCCCTCAAGAAGTATTATGCGCCACGGCCGCGTGCACAAAGCACTGAAGTGAAGTGAAGCAGCATGGTAGCGTAGCCAAGCAACCTCTGCTATGATTATAGTGTGAACGCGCTCCGCTAGCGCCTAGCGGGCAACAGTCCTCAGCGCCAGGCTCAACTGGCTCTCCCTCCTTTGTCAGAACATTTTATGCTTGTTCGAGACAAGAAAGAACTGCTCGCTCTGCATGATCTGTACTTCTGTAACTCTTTCAGTTCATTACAAGAGGCAGGAACTTAGCCAAGGTTGGAAGGCTCCGTCCTTGGGCAGTCCAGTTGGGTTGCGCTATGATGTGTTTCCGCTCAGGAACTTTCCAGACGAACTTCAAATCGATTCTGCTTTTCAAATGCCCCGTACTTGTCAGTAATGCTATGGCTGTGACAAACAGCAAGATAATCTTTAGCCATGTTCTGGTTCAGAGTAAGTTGCCAGCGGTAATGGCTACGGAAAACACAGCCAGGTAAATAAAAGAGAAACATCTGCTGTCCCAGAGTGCAGTGTACAACCGGTGCCATGCATGTCCGCCTGATAAAAGTGTTTGAGGAATTTTACACTGACGTTTGCCAATGTTTTCTTTGTGCAATTCCAGATTGGGAACTCCTCTTGGGCTACGGAAATGTCGACGTACCTATCGTCAGACCGACTAACACAGCGCGTGCCCGCTATGCGCTACTGGGATGACGGACTGTATCGAGTGCGGGTCGGCAATCCTGCTGGTGAAGTGACGGTCGACTTCACCCTTCACTATCGCGGTGAGTAGTAGTTCACAGTCCTAGTGAGGTGTGCGAAACGGCGTCTTCAGCGTGGAACTGTTATAAAGCAAATCTAATACGACCTAGGCTACACCCTTCCCTTGTACAGTGGAAAATAATAATTGCGCTCGTATCTTACTTCTCCGTGTAGTCCGGTACAAAGCACTGCGCTTGACTGAAATGCCTGTACATCTACATACGTTTCAATGGGGATGAGTTTGAGATGTGACATTAATTTTGACGGCACTTTTTTCATCCCAAACTGGCAGTGGTTGGCAATATTGTCACTAAGAATCACCCACAGTGTGCCCCAGTGGACGGATGTGCCCGTAACGTCGAGGTTCGAATACTAGAGATATACCTGAACTTACATCAGAAATACAGACCTGCTCCATGAAATCCAGTGGCGGCAGTCAAGAAAGCGCCGGGTATTACACAGCCCTAGACCTGCAAATGCTCGGGTGCGAAATGATGTCAGTTGCAAACTTTAGTGACACGACTGCATTTCCCTGAGGAGGACTGTACTCTCCATTCAAAATACTCTTGCAGAGTCAAGAGTCAAGTCAAGCCTCTTGCACGGGCAAACCTACGATCATGATCAAAGAATAGAAAAAACCCGAAACAATGAAAAGAACCCAAAGAAATAAAAGAACTCAAAGCTAAGTAAGGGAGCCCAACCAGCCGCACACCGAGCACACAAAAGGCCACAGCATGCAACACTGGACGAATGAACAACCCGCAAAAAATGTGCAGCACATCGAAATGCTCAAAACATTTTTAGTGCACTCCTAACTACATGGCTCCAATGACTGGTACAACTTGGTGAGACACCAAGCCAGGCTGCCTGCCTTGCATGCAGTAGTGCAATGCACTGCCATCATGCCTGTACTGCGAATGTGCACCTGTCATGTGCATCTGTCATGTGTAGTTGTCATGTGTAGCTGTCATAATGTAAGAGAACAACACATGTCATAGAACATCATACTCTAGGCAAGCTCTACGCCATACATGCTCCCACCGGTGGATGTACAGAGTTGTACTTCCTACCACCGTGTGTAGTACCCCCGTAAGGGTTGTTGGAAGCTATTTCAGTGCGGTACTTTCAGCCATCTGAAGTACAATTTACTCAATGGGGGTAGTGGCGGCTGGGCCGATAAAGTTTGAAAATTAGATCCCAGATCAGTGTATTTTACTGATTCACGGGGTACTGGGCAAAATGTGGCACGGTCAACACCGTAGTGACCGTACCGTGTCCGACACCCCTGCCTGTACATATCTATCAGCATGCTTGTGGCAAGACAATCCATGTCTGCACATACTCACCGGGTGTACATCTTGCCCGAGTACATAATACGTGAGTTCCACTTGTCGCGGCGACCTTGTCGCGCGATTTGTATCATGTTTGTGCCTGTTCTTGTTTCAGTACAAAACGCTAGTTCCATGCCCACGTTCCCGTGCTTTGTATGACTTGTTCTGGCCCACGTATGCATGACTGTACATGTACTTGTCAAGGCACGTGCATGCAGCACAGTTTGGCGCGCTTTTGCGAATGTGTTTTTCTTCTCCCACGGGGGTGGGTGATGCTGCTCTTTTTGGACACGAGTGGTTTTCAGTTTTGTTGTTCTCTAGTATTATTCTGGAAAGAGCGATTACTACAGACTCATTTGTCCTATGATGTGTGCCACCTGTAGAGGTGAGATCGGACTTGTGACCTGTGTTGATAAATCGAGAGATTGGGAATTCTAATCTTTCGACATGGTGCTTTAGTGACCAGAGATTTTCCTTAGTTTATTTAGTAAATTCCGACCAGAGTGATGGAGACTATCGCCCAGCTCGTAAAGTGTAGGGCAAACACGAAGCGACGACTCACACGCCTTCGCCACAATTTAACCCGGGAGCTTGCCAAAGACGCTCCATCACCACACTACCTGCTACGAGATTGGCAGCAGGCTGAACGCCTTGCAGCTGAAATCAATGCCACACAGGCTAGAATCCGCGATCTGACCGAACAGGCGACTTCCTCGGATGTTGAGGACCGCCTGGAGCAACTCGACAAGTGGGAGTTCGAGTTCGACGATGACCTGGAAGTCCTGAGGGACGCACGTACCGTTCTACAGAGGGAGAACCCGTCCGGACTCGCCACAGCAGATGCGGAACTGGAGGCAATCGCCAACTCGAGTCGATCCAGTGCCCCACAACCCTCCCCCACGACGTCCCCAGCCGCTGCCTTGACCAGCGAATCCTTCAGCCCATCAGCAGTGGTGGTCCACTCCAAGGGTCCACCTTCCGCTCCTGCGAGCTCTCCTGTGACTGCTGTTAGTCCTGTCCATGCTACTGGCTCTCCAGCCACTCCAGTCGTCCCGTCTCCGAATGTTCGCTTCCGCATTCCCATGACACCCGATCCCGTATCAGATACAGACAGTGACTCCGACTGGTCCAGTTCCAGTTCCGCCGGCACTCGGTCTTCTGGCGGGACATCTCGTAAACCGAAGCGATCACCCTCTTCCAGGGTGCCTGGTACCTCAGTGCGAACTGGGGGTAGTGCCGCCACGAGTGCCACTCCTCCTCCACCATCTGCCAAACCAGCAGTGACAGCAATTCACTTGCCGAAGCTGACCGTGCCCACCTTCAGTGGTGACACACTTTCCTGGCCCGCATTCTGGGACATGTTTTCTGCGTCTGTAGACGCCCAGCCACTTCCGGATGTGTCCAAGTTCACATATCTGCGCACAGCGTTAAGCGGTCCACCGAACCGCTTGATTGCAGGCTTAGCGGTCACGAACGACAACTATCCCATCGCCCTGCAAGCCCTGAGGGAGGAGTATGGGAAGCCGGAGGTCATCGTCACCAAGCTCTACCGACACCTGCAACAACTCCCTCCATCGTCCTCCCAATTGGCGTCTATCAAGGTCACGCAGGAGACCGTTCACAACCTCCTCAGACAGCTGGAGGCACAGGGCGAAAACCTCCGTGGTCAGAACCTGGTCAGCCAGCAGATCCTGTCGAAGTTCCCCCTCGAGGTGACCACCAAGCTGGAGGAGTGGCGTCCTCTTTCTGAAGCCTCAATGGGGTGGGATGTCAAGACACTGATGCAGGCTCTCAAACGGTACGTCACCCTGCATGAGTGTGCCCAACAACGCTCCAGCTTTTCCGACCACCCGATGACCGCTGTATCTGATCATGTTGCTAGCGGAAGTGCTCTATTGGTGTCAGCAGCGCAACAGCAAACAACCTCGCCGGCCCCTTCACTGCTGCGTCACTCAAGTGCATCACAAAAGCCCTCTGGATTTCGCTCACCCTGCGTCTACTGCGGTGGTAACCACGGTCATGATGACTGTCTGGCGTATGGCACAGAGCAAACCCGCAAGGCCCAGCTTCTCAAGACACAACGCTGCTTCCGGTGTCTTGGCAAGGGTCATCAAGCTGCTGCTTGCACTCGGGCACGGACATGCCGCCACTGTCAGATCACCAACCGCCACCACGCGTCTATTTGTACAACACTGTTCGCTAGCCAGCATACCACTCAAGCTGCTGTCCACAACCCTCCCCTCGGTAGTCAGCAGCCAGAGCACGCTTCAGATCCTCCGGGAAGCCCCACCACTGTAGCTTCCGGTCACGGTGTCTCTACTGCTAACGTCTACCTGCAGACGGCCAAGGTGACACTCCACAATGGCGGGCAATCACTTTCCGCTCGTGTACTTCTTGACAGCGGCAGTCAACGTACCTTTCTCACAAGTTCCGCCGCGGAGTCACTTGGACTTCCTGTTCGGTGTACGGAGTATCTGCACGTGTCCACATTTGCCAGTAGTGGGCCGCAGCGACTACAGGCCAATGTTGTCGACTTCGAGCTGGCACTGCAAGATGGCTCCCTGCTCCCTCTGACAGCCCATGTTCTGCCAAAAATCACCGACCCTGTCCATCGCAGTGCGATTCCTGATCAAGACCGACAGTTCCTGCAGTCGCTATCTTCTAGTCTGGCTGACAACCTTCCAGACACATCTGAGAAGGCATCCGTTGACCTGTAATCGGCACGGATTACTTCTGGAGCATTATTCAACAGGACCGGATCGTGTTGCCGTCGGGTCTGTTGCTCCTCCCATCGCGTCTGGGTTACATCCTTACTGGCTGCTATGCTCCGTCACATGATGACTCCAGCCAAACATCCACACTGCTGTGTCACACTGCTGTACGCCTTGCCTCCCATCAGCTCCAAGTAATGGATTCCACGCCGCGGTCGACACTCACACCCAATCTGACCGAGATGTGGAATTTGGATCGGATTGGCATCCACGACTGCCCCGACGTCACTGCTGATGACCTGGCGCTCCGCCATTTCCAGGACCACATCCAGTTCACTGGTGGCCGGTACGAAGTGGCCTGGCCATGGAAATCGGAACCACCTGACCTGCCAACCAACTATGGCCTCGCATTTGCCCGGTTGTCTACGTTGTGCCGTCGCTTAGCCAATGATTCCGACCTCCGACAGCAGTACGACAAGGTCATCCAATCGCAAGTTGACCTGGGGATCATCGAGCCTGTCGCGAACCCACCGCCTACGGGCACGCCACAGCACTATTTGCCCCATCAGCCAGTTATAACGCCGTCGAAACAGACCACGAAGCTACGCATTGTCTACGATGCCTCGGCGAAGACAACGAAGCAGTCGAAAAGCCTGAACGAATGCATGCACCGGGGCCCTATCCGTCTGCCCAACCTCTGTGGTATGCTCCTGCGCTTTCGGTGCTACAACGTTGCCATTGTTGCTGACATCGAGAAGGCGTTTCTTCAACTGCGTATCCGGAAGGAAGACCGCGATGTGACACGTTTTCTCTGGCTCAGGGATGCTACGAATCCTCACCTGACCAAGGACAACCTTGCGGTTTACCGGTTCTGCAGAATGCCCTTTGGTGTAATTGCTAGCCCATTTCTATTGGAAGCCACAATCCGCCATCACCTACAGCGCCACCCGTCGCCATTGTCTGAAACGATTGCCAGGAATA